TTGAAGCCAGGAAATCAAGTGAACTATCTAAATTGTTCACCCTGTACGTTCTTTTAATTTATTTTTTAATTATTAATTATTTATACAATATTTTACAAAATGATGAAATCAATATCTAATCTTAATCATACATATAACTACTTTTAAAAATAAAGGTGTGCTATATTAATCTAGCGTTTCATTCTTTATAATTTATCTCTTTACGTCACATTACGATTTATGAAAACAAATGAAATTTGAGGCTAGACAAATATTATGTTTCCCCTTTTTGAAGATACCTGCTTCGTATCTTTGCCACTAGCGTTACTTTATTTGTCGTTTGATTTGATATGAACAATTGTAGTGTTCAAGTGAAATTATGGATATAATTGAATAGTTACGCTTCATGGCTTGATTTCATCGTTTAATTTTTAAAGTGAGAGTTGTTAATATATTGTTGCCAACCAAAGCAATATGAAAATTCTTAAAAATGGGTAAATATATTTTAATTATTTGTTTAATAGTTACAATTTTATGTTACACTATTTTCGTGACCAAATTGTAAAACAGCAAAAGACAATTTCATTAATTTGTGTTAAAATAAATATTAACCTTTGTTTAAAACTAAATGTTTTCCCAGATTATATCATTATTGTGGTAAAATTTTATAAATAAGTTTATTAATTTGCACCCAATAGGTATTATTTCAAAAATTTTGAAAACAAATTTAAATCCGTTTATAATATTCAAGATACAACATTTAACCCCGTACCTACCAATCATAACTTTTTTATAATATTTATGAACATGATTTTCTGTAGCAAAGTATTCAAATATTTATTGAGTTATAATGTAGACATTTGGGAGTTACATATGTATGGAATAACACATCTGGTAAGTCGCCGCCACGGCTTTCCTGGCACATGCGTTTGGCGAAATTTTGAATAACGGCGTTACATACACGTGGCGGTATTCCGTTGATATAGCGTCTAATTTCGGCCTTTAATGCTTCGATGGTCGTGGGTTTGTTGGCATAAACCTGACTTTAGATAACCCTACAGCCAAAAGTCCAAAAGTGTTAAATCGCAAGAGCGTGGCGGCCAATTCTGGTCACCAAACGAGAGATGACAAATATCGAAAAACGAAAACATACAATTCATTCCAAATACCATATGAGGACCACAGAAGACAAGGGGTATAAGTATCAGAACTTTACATTGGAGATAATAGAGTTCATTCTTGAAGATTAACAGTAATTGAAAGGAAACGAGTATTACATTTTCCACGGTTAAACATTGATTCATACAGTCTAATGTCATTTTCTAAATGAATATTTTTGTAAAACAACCAGACATCTAAATTTTATGGGAATTTTTTTTATGACATGTTACACTTGTACCCTTTGGCTGCCAAACATAATGGAAAGTTAGAGGAAAAGGAATAACTACAAATCATTTTATTTCTAAATCAGTTTGAACTAATAAATAGCGCATATAAAACTATAAAACTAAAGATAAATTATTAATCCTCATCCGTATAGTAGATGTCATCTGGTTCGTCAACTTCCTGACTTTCTTCATTTGAGGTGCTTGGTTGAACAGTGCCATCATTCCTCTTTGGTTCCGGTTTATCTTGATGAGGAAGACTTTTAAAGAACTCGTGATATATTGGAGGTACAAACTGCAAAAGATCCATGAGGTTTGCAAACTTAAGATACTTCAATTTGGGTTTCTCAGTCTCAACAGGCAGCTCAGGTAAAGCAGTTACATTCCTGCCAGCCCTATTGGATTTCATCTGAAGAGTGTAAAACGAGTCCAAAGTAGTGCCAGAATTTAGTTTGTAGAACAAAGTGTAGGGATTCTCTTTTTTAAAATGAAACCACTGCATTTCTCGAATTCCTGGCACAGATTTTCTAAAGTAAGGTATAAGACAGTCCAGGTTAATAAAGTCTTCATTTTGCATTTGCACCACCAAAAACTTTCGGCAGGAGGATGCAATAAGTTGTGACCAGTGTTCTGGAAGATAAAGATCTCTTTTGCATTGCCTCTTTTTGATCTCTATTAGACCAAAATCTTGATCACATTCATTGTAGAATGCCCAGATATTGAAAACCGATGGTCCACACTTTTGATATGCGTATTTTGTACAACATACAACCAAAACTTCACAATAGTTTGACTCTTATTCTGGCCTCCACAATTATCGCTGAAAGCTGTTATATGCGTAATATGTCTGGGAAGAGTCTTGATAAATTTTAAGAGACAAGATACAATTTCCTGACATCCTCGAGAAGCTTGTCCCTCATGCCAGGTGTACATGTATCCATTTCCAGTGACAAGATTATGTATATTTAAATTATAGGTGCATAGCTGTCTGTAGTAATAGGCTTTAGTATTGGTTATATGAGGTGTTGGCATCATTTTTTGTAAGTCAAAACATATTGCGACTTGAGTGTTGTCACTAATATTATGGCATTCATCCTTGGTTTTTCGTGCAGCTTCTGCTTTACGTAGATGTAAATCTTTTTGAATTTTTGCCTGCTGTTTTATATCATCATCATGGTCTATTTTTATTTGATGTTTATCGCAGGTATCACATGGATCAGTACCTGGGCGGTGAAAACTGAGGTTGAACTGAGTCTTAAAGATATGCCTACAGAAACTTTCCTTAACTGGCTCTACATGTTCTTCATTTTCACAGAAGGTGATATAAAGCTTATATATCTGTTTCAAATCAAGTCTAGAATCTAAGTATTTGCGATTTGGATTCTTTTCTCTTGAATAGTGACTAACATAGCGAGGAAAACTATTTATGTGCTTTTTGATAATATCAATACGAGTCTGGGGAATTTTGTTTGCTGGTTCTTTTTTCCCCTCTTTGGTCACGTGCAGCAATGCCAGATGTTTTTTTTGTTGGCTATATTTTGCAATCGACTATTTGAAACATCAAGAGTTCTTTTGAAAAACTCTTTACACACTCTAAAGTCACCCAGCTTGTAAATACATGATATGCCCTTATTAAAAAATTGCCACTTCTTTCGTTTCACAGGTTCTAAGTTAATTGCACCATTTAAAAAAGATGTTTGGAGTTCCCAACTAGTTTCCTAGTTTCCAAAAATCATTGAAAATGACCCGTCGTCGGCTGTCTTCACTTAATTAATATTACAATTATACCTGCATTGGTGATTGTATTCTCGTAATTCTCTACCTTGATAAATTTTCTGTTTCCGGTCCAAATACCTTTTTCCTTCATTTCTTAATTTCTTTGCCCTCTGTCGCTTCCAAATTTCTGGTCGTCGAATTTTTTTCCCAATCTGACGAGTAGGTGAAACAGCATTCTCAGGATCATCTTCTATTGGACCGTCTTCATTTTCCGTTTCATGTGATATTTCTGAACATGTAGAACTGCTATCGTCGTCAGGGTTGTAGTCTTGATCCGAATAGTCTCCGTCGCTGAATAAGGTATCTTCATCTGAAAATGAAATTATATTGCACAATCTGTATTTTATTGTCGTATTATTTCCTCAAATATTCCTTTGCGCTGATTTACTCTAAATTAAATTTCAAAAGAGTGAACAAGGATTATAGGCTATTGCAAAAAAGAAAATATCTAAATCAAAATTGGCAACAGCCTTATTACACCATTAACAAGAGGTAAATTAAGTTTTAAGGATTCATTTCATATTTATCTTGTATAGAAAAAATAACTTACCGTAATTATTGAGGTTAATATTGTTTTCATCATTCATAATGGTAGAAAACTTGAGTTTATTTTGTTAAAAGTATATTCACTATAAAGGCGCAAACATAAAACATCAACTGGCTAAAAGTAGCTTATAATATTATATAAATGAAAACTATTGAAAACCACAATGTAAACACAACTAATTTGGCTGTCAAAGCAAAACCACCAATCATTTAGTAGGCAAGGGGTATAAGTGAGCTTGTATTCCTTGTGCTCCAATCAAAAGTCAGATATGGTAAAGTGTTTAAGTAATTTGTCAACAGATGTCAGCACTGGGTTTGAAATCACTTAAGCCGCCAAACAGAATGCATGTTTTGTTAACCTTTAGTGAACATAACTCATTTTATTTCATTTTGTCACTTATACCCCTTGGCTTCTAGGCTCCTCATATAGATTTAGGGCCAGTTTTTCCATCTCATTAAATTTATGTGGCACATAAATTCCATGGATACAGTTATTGATACAATCGTATTCAAGGAAGTTATCCACCAAATTAATTTAATGAGAGGCAGTACTGATTCGTATTTTTTTGTAATTCTAGAAAATTCGAATGTTTTATATGATGTCATTTTATGACTCTAAATAATTGTATTTTCTAAGTTAAAAAAATGCGCATCAGTATTGCCTGTAATTTTATATATTAAATCTATATGATATTTAGAATGAACCGTATATTTTCGATATTATTTAGAGAACAATTTTAACAGCGATTTATAAATTTAAGTTGAATATCTTTGCTGAAAACGCAACCTTAGGATATCGTATTTTTTATATCTCGATTTAAGTTTTGCTGGAATTACTGGGAATAGATTTTTGTCACTAAAGCTCCCTTTAAGTTAAAAGTCCCTTTAAAATGTTTATAATGCCGGGGGTTAATGTTTAATATTTCTTAACTTAGCAAATCTTTAAAACTGTTCAGCGTTATTTAAATTTCAATGATTGGTTTACGGAGACATAATAAATATATAATTTTTAAACATTCTGTTACTGCATTTTTAAGATATTCACAGCTTGTTATGTATATTACCCCCACTATTATTAACATTTTAAGGGGCCTTTAACTTAAAGGAGGTTTTAGTGACCAGAAAACAGACAAAATATAAATATCAGATAGCAATTCTATAATTTAAATGAAAAATTAGGTTTAATGGCATTCCTATATTTCGAGTTATATTTTGCTGAAATTGCTGATAATACATTTTCATGTCACTAAAACTTTTTTTAAGCTAAAGGTTCCTTTAAAATGTTGATAATACTAGGGGTTAGTACAATTATTTACCGAGCCCGGTAGCGCAGTGGGCCAGAGCGTTATGTGACAAACGTAACTGATTTACTGCCTATCGACTCCCGGGTTCAAATCCCGGTTTCGATACTGACAAAATCGAAGGGTTTGGTTGTTTGTGTTTGCGTTTTTTTCAACTGTGTAATCTCTGTCCGTGCAGCTTTGACTTTGGTTTGGGGGTTGTCTAATTTATGTGGTGTGTTTTATTGTTTTTTATATAGTCATTTGCCAGTTTTCTTATTTTTAATCATCTTTTTTTTTTGCAGATTTGATTTCGGTCAGACCGCCTTTTCACCAACAGAGCTAGATGACAGTTTCATGTATTATTACCGATCGCAGGGAACTGTTCGTGATGCAGAATCAAAAATAATTACCTCCAATTTGACAGAAAAGATAACTTCATCGCAAGTCAACCACACGAAAGTTGATTTTTCTAAACACCCCACTCCATGCCAGAAGTACCTACAAAGTATTAATGGTGAGTAGAGTTTATTTTATACAAGAATTTAAATTGAAATCGATCCTTTGTTCCTACTTTTTACATTTTTTTTTAATCGGATGCGTCTGTACCAAATTTAGTATTGTTTGGCCTATACCCATGTAATGTCCTATACTCTGTTTATTACTGAAGAAGAGTAATAAATGCTCATTAATAAGCCGATCCTTTGTAATGCAATCCATCGTGTATAGGTGAGGGGCGTGGTGTAACTTACAAAGACTTAACTCTTATGTCATGTCCGTTAACAGTTGTTCATAGTTGTCAACGTACACTTGTGTCATTAATAAACTTTCTATAGTATACTCTGCCGTTTGTTCAGCCAGGTGTATATATTTTAATAATGTACATTCTCTAGATAAATTAAACAAAAATCGTTAAAAAAAATATTAATGTTTTTCGTATAAAAACAAAATATCGATCCCCTTGGTAATAATTATACTTAGTACAAATTTCCTTTTGCGTTCTTAATAATTCTTACTAAAAAACAACTTGTGCATTTTTTCTGTAATCTGAGAAAACGCCTCGGAAAATATAAAAATATGATTTGCTAGTAGAGTCAGCTCCCATGTCACAAAAAGATACCCCATCGAACACCTCAAATTTAAAAGGGTACCTTTCTGTGCCATGAGAGTTGAGACTATAGGTATTACGCTTAACTAGTGGAACTTGAAAACTCTAAATCCCGGCATTACAATTCGTTATGTAACTTATTTTTATCCATTCTTAGATTCCATAGAAATATATGAGATTTTAAGGCTTCGGTTTATTGCAGTTGCTTGGTACTAATCTTCTTTATATTTAAACTGTTTAAAATTTCATGTATTTACCTTATTGCTATTTTTAGTGAGTGCAGTTGAAAAATATTTATTGTTATTGTGTAATAATGGCGAATTTATGTTGTAATGATCGAAATTTGGGTTTAATTTCAGTGGCGCTTGTATATAAATTTTTACATAAAAAAAATTAAATGTGTTTATTCTTTCTTACAAAATTAAACATAATACGAACCTACCTTGATGAGTTTCGTATTTATTTTGGAATAATAGAATGGACACATTTCACACATAAATTATTATGAAATTGCACAGCACTTTCATGTTTCAAATTTTATACTTTTATCGAGTTTTCATAGTTCCAAAATATACAGTAATTATTTTTTTCTAAATTTTCCTGTGTATGACGATTTCTTTTAACAATAAATATCCACTTTAAGGTCAAAAATGATCTCTAGCATTCCACAGAAATGATGAAGCATATTAAAGATATTCATAGGAATCTGATCAAAGAAGGTATCTTGTTCTGCTACAATTTTTTTGTTAATGGCAAATGCGACAGACAAATCTGGATTTCTTTGTAAAACACCAACCCACTTTTTTGACATAACCTCATTAATTGTTTTTTGAACAGTATCCATTTTTTTAAATGTTTCTTCTAAGGACAGATTTGTACGTTAAAGATCTTCTATAATTGTGATTTTACAATTTTCTGAAATAAATTTTAAATCATTTTTAATATTTGGAAGATTCATTAACTTTTTTGCATACATAAGGCAGGAGCATCTTTATTTAAGGTTTCTACAACTTCTTTTAGTGAGTTGAAGTTATCATGGTAGTAATATGCCGCGTTGATCCATGTACCCAACATGTGATCCAACGGGGATTCTTCTATAGGGTCATTTGATCAATGACCTCCCACATACAAATAAAAAAATAGAGCTATTCATTTTCTGAAGTTTAAAAATATGTAATATATATATTTTTAATATTCTTAAAAATATATTATATATTTTTAAACTTCAGAAAATGAATAGCTCTATTTTTCTATTTGTATGTGGGAGGTCCTTGACCAAATGACTCTATAGAAGAACCGCCAGTGGTGTGATCACTGGTTTTGGAGGAAGCGGTAAATTAGCATATTTTTCCTCTAAATGTATTATCCTACTAAGAGCTTTTAGAAAAATTTCTCATAATAACAATAAGTTTGTCAACATTTGTGAAAGAATATTACTTTTTCACATACGCGGTGTAACGCATGCGCTAAATAAGTAACTTGAGAGTATTTTTAATTTTTTTCCAGTACTTAACATGTACGACACTGATCCACTAATAGAAACAACTCTCTTTAAATTGTTTTCAGCCAAGACTTACATAAGCCATTTAAGATTAATGATGCTACTAAAATTAAACCCAAAATTCCGATCATTGCTTATAACAACTCTGCTAAACTGATCTGCTATATCCTTATCAAAAGATATCTATGAATTGATTTTCATTAGTAGCGCAGCCACAAAATTTTTTTCAAATTTAGGTAAATGGCAAATTCTCAGTTGCAGTTATTAATAACAGTGACATACCGCAAAGTCAAACCTTGCGACTGATACTATTCTTATTTCATATTAATGGCATTGTCAATTCCTAAAACGAAAAACTGAATACACCAGCAAAAAATGTTGAATGGCTAAAAAGGAGCTTTACAAAATTTAAAAGTTTAAAGATTTATTGTTTCCTTATTTTGTTAAAGCCGAGAAAAAGTGGCAAAAACGTTAATATTGTCCATAACGTAAAATAAACATGCCGATTTGTAGTACTTATATAGGACAAACTTGAAGAAATTTTAAGGAAAGGGTTTCAGAACAGAATATTCCAATTAATGTTAATTATTTCGAAGAAAATCATAAGTTTGTTATTGAAAATTTATAATATAAACAATTAAAATCAACACTATTAGACTCCTTAGATACTATTTCATTTTAACCAGAGTTTCCTGTAACTTACAGCAGTCTGCACCATTGTGTTTGATTAACTACAAAAGATTTCAAAATATTTAATTTGCCGTAATAGGATTGCACCACTGCAGAGTTCAAAAAAAAGAATAACATATTTATTAGCACAGGATCATTAATTTTAACCGGACGTTGTATTGCCTTGACATAAAGTTTACCAAAGGTTAAACTGTGTTTTGATGACAGTCTGTTACTGATAGGGAATCAAAACTTAAATTCTTATTTGTTGTAATTGTGAGTTATCTTATCAACCTCATAAAGAAGGTGTGTGGGACACACTACGAAAACCGTCTTATCATTTTGCACCAAAGATTTGTTTTTCTTTCAAGTTTGCAGACAATATTTTAAAAAATGTTGTTGGGAATAACGGTTTATTTGTTTTAACGATTGCTTGATAAATATTACACATAATTATCATACACTTGTGTTAACGTAAATGTTCTCTTTCATTTCAAAGTCAAAATTTTAAAATGTCAACAGAAGTTGTCATCTGTGAGTATTAGCAATAGTGATAATGGGATGTGGGGGTGATAGATCAGATTTGATGCTGTAAGGGCAAAATTTTTTTCATTATTTTTATTTACATTGTTCTTTTTATAATCATTTGACCCAAAAGGCGAATTTAGGGAGGGGGTAAAATAAATAGTGCTTTAACCTCCACTTTAAATTTTCAAATAAAAATCTATTGCAGCACGTAACTTTATTATACCACAGTATAATGTCTTATATTTTATATCACACATGTCTTATATGTTAATAATTTCTTATTGACGTTGACATGTTTGTAACTAAATTAGACATTTCAAATGTTAAACTGCCAAATTTATCCTAACCCCATTGTATGACTTCAAATGTGTACAAAATTTCTGTTCGGCTTTATTTAAGTACTTGGAAAACATATTTTATTGGCTTGATATAATAGACCTGATTTATACATATTTTTTATATAGAACTAATGAGAACTAGAATATAGAAAGACATGTATTTAACTTGTCTTTTTGAGAAAATGGCAAAAACAGACATGCATATACTTAGAAGATTCGGTACATGACGCTCAATTTAAGAACCCACAATGACTGTCGAATAGTGTATATTTTAGAAATTACTTGCAAGTAAAAATTCAATAGTTAATAAGCATTTTTAACAATAGTTAAACTCAATAAAATCAGATTTTTTCTCCTGATATAATACGAATTGTTTATTTACCACATACCATGTTTGTCATAACACATCTTGTTACTAAATGTCTAGTTGTTTCTAAATATTTTCAGTTATTTTGTGTAATACGCCCATTTACAACCCCCCCCAAACTCCATGTTTTGGCCTCTTGAAAACATAATGTAGGTAGTAGATGTCATCATAATGTTTTATGTAAAAGTTGTAGTGAATCAAATGAACTGTTTTAGAATTCCTGCAAAGAATATACAAGAGGTTCCATAAAAACAGGACATTTTTATAAATGGAACACCTTATATTTTTTTTTTACATTTTTGAGATGTTTTTTTTTTGTGATTTCAAATATATAGATATGTTATATCTTATCCATTGTTTTTTTGATATGATTTTCAAAATATACATAAAAATCCTATAACTTTTGTATTTATCATTTTTTTATACTAATAAAAATAACAGAATTAGGGGGGGGATTCTCAAAATCACCATGTGCAAGGAACCAATTTATATGTAAGATATATTGTTCCAGATGCCAGTATTCAACCAAAAACCACATCACAAATGAAAATCAAATCACTGGGCACAGATGATGGATTTAAAGGTGAAGCTGCAAAATGTGGTAGTTCCATAATACGA